CGTAATTACAAACAAACAATCGATGGATATCTCAATATTTCTATCAAAATATCCTTTATTCATGAAAAAAGTGTCATTATTTGATACATTCGTGTAGAAAAGTTGTTTTGTTTTGTGTACTCTGTCTACCACTGGGAATCGAACCCCGGATTTTAGTCTTGTAAATCCATAAATTTACCGTTGACCCACCAGGGAACCAGACGCGTAGGATTTGTTTGTTTGTTTGAAGTTAAGCACAAAGCTGCACAATGGACTATCTGTGCTCTGCCCACCACGGGTATCGAAACCCGGTTTCTAGCGTTGTAAGTCCGCAGACATACCGCTGTGCCACTGGGGGGCGACGTGTAGGAACCTATTGGTTACAGACCGCCTAACATTTGGACCTTTTTCATGCATATTTGTATTTGGGTTTATTAATATCATCGCAAAATAATCCACGTCCTTCACACACAAATACACACACACACACTTGTGATTGGAGTCTTACTGATGTTTTATTGTTTTCAACGCTTATGATATGTAAACTAACCGAAATATGATCACATATGACGTAGGAACATACGCTCTTTAAACTTATGAATGACATCAAAAGAGTTTCTAAGTTATATATAATTAAAAAAAATATTAAATGTTTTCGAAGTTGCATTTTGCTAGATAACTTCCAATGAATTGCTCTATTGTCACTGTTTTGGAAAGATCGTTGACAGGCGGTACAATGTTTTAATGAAGTATTTAAGAAAAAGATGTTTAATCTCCTAGTCAATCATAACTTTCCGCGGTAGGATATTGTTTGTTTGTTGTTTTTTTAATTTCGCGCAACGCTACACAAGGGCTATCTGCGTTAGCCGTCCCTAATTTAGCAGCGTAAGACTAGAGGGAAGGCAGCTAGTCATCACCACCCACCGCCAATTCGTGGGCTACTCTTTTACCAACGAATAGTGGGATTGAACGTCACATTATAACGTCCCCACGGATGAAAGGGCGAGCATGTTTGGTGTGACGGAGATTGGAACCCGCGACCCTCAGATTGCGAATCGAGTGCCTTAACCACCTGGCCATGCCGGGCCGCGGTATGAAATTCTTGTCTTAAACCAAAACCAAAAACAAAACACTTACTGGTTGTTTTATATTAAAATATTCATAATTTCTCATCAGTGAGCGTTAACCGGCATAAGTGCAGAAAACTTTATAATATTAAAAACTACACCGCTAAGTCTGAAAGATTATAACGCTAAAAGTCGGGTTTCGATATCCGTGATGGGCGCATCAAAAGTAGCCCATTGTGTAACTTTGCAATTAATAACAAGCAAACAGAAATCTAGATGTAGGTGAAACAATTTTATGAACACTTACGCTGTATATAATTTTGATTAAAATTCAGAAATTACATCGTAATCGTAAAAATATTAAAATACACTACAAAAAATGCATGCATTTTTGTAAATGAAATATAAATATATTTTGACTATTTATAAAATTTAAAGCTATAAACATTTGTTTTATAGCAAAGCCACATTGGACTGTCTGTTGTGTGTCCACTGCGAGGAATCGAATCTCGGACTTTAGAGTTGGAAGTCCGTAAACTTACCCCTGTGACACCAGGATAGAACAGGTAAATAAAAAATGGAAGCCCCCCCCCTCCAGTGGCATAGGGGTATGTCTGCGGACTTACAACTATAGAAACCGGGTTTCGATACCCGTGGTGGGTAGAGCACAGATAGCCCATTGTGTGCCTTTGTACTTAACTACAAACAAACAAACTACTTACCCAGTAGGAATTGATCCAACTATTGGAACGCCGTAGTTAGGGTTCAAGCTCAAGAAATACGACACTACAGTTCCTAGAACAACCTATAGGGTAACGTATGGGTATGAATTTTAAGACTTATGACAAACAAAACACGGTAAATTTCCTTTACTAATCAAATACTTTACGTAATATACTAAACATAACGAATTATACGATATGAAAAATACTGATGATGTGTATTACTCTATGATATGCGAACGTTGTGAGCTTAATTAATTATATTTGTATTAACGACGAATTAGTCATCAATGGTTGGATGGTTTGAAATATAATAATAATGTTTCCAGTGTTATTGCGTTGAGAGTCTCTTATGAAAATGAACTTTCTGAGAAGCTGTGACGTAATTTTAAATTAATCAACATTTCGATTCTCACTGAACTACATAAAAAATCAAACATACTACGATAAGATCGCTGTGACGTCATTTTAAATTTATCAACATTTCGATTCTCACTGAACTACATAAAAAATCAAACATACTACGATAAGATCGCTGTGACGTCATTTTAAATTTATCAACATTTCGATTCTCACTGAACTACATAAAAAATCAAACATACTACGATAAGATCGCTGTGACGTCATTTTAAATTAATCAACATTTCGATTCTCACTGAACTACATAAAAAAATCAAACATACTACGATAAGATCGCTGTGACGTCATTTTAAATTAATCAACATTTCGATTCTCACTGAACTACATAAAAAATCAAACATACTACGATAAGATCGCTGTGACGTCATTTTAAATTAATCAACATTTCGATTCTCACTGAACTACATAAAAAAATCAAACATACTACGATAAGATCGATGGGAATGGGAATCTTGAGCTTCTCTCGGAACTTGGCGTTGATGAAGTCCTTCACAATGACTAAAATGGCGATGACACACAACGACAGAACCAAGGAGACGATGTTTGTCTTGTGGATGTTCTTAAAAATTGAAATGTACACCTAGATGTAGAAACGGGCGAAGATGTATTTAAGATATTCCCCGCACAAGAAGCCATACGAGTCTACTGTTGGTAAATGTTTTCGTGACGTTTTATCTCTACAAGTGATTGGACAAAATGATAACACATAACTAACTTTACAAATGTTTTGGTTGTGTTAATATATTTGTGTGGTTTGAGGCATGGATCAAGCAGAAGTCTTACATATATTGTTTCAAATTTTCACGCAGAAGTAAAGTATGATCTACAATATACACGCACAAATATAGTCGCTGAATGCATAGTTTAAAACCCTTAGGCCTTGCTGTGCAATGTTATAGATCCTGTATTATCTTTAGTATTATACATTGTTAGTAAAGCATAGTTTAATTGTATTATTAATCGTATATTCCTGGAAAGTATGGTACAATTCTGTTATTAATAGTATATTATTAACAAATCATAACTTAGCTGTATTAGTGAACGTATATTCCTAGAAAGACACGGTCCTATTAGTGAACGTATATTCTTAGAAAGACACGGTCCAATTCTATTCGCAAAGTTAAATATGATTTATTCTTCCCATGACCAAGATTTTTCTTTTAACTCTGAGCGCCTAGTAAGTGGATATTGTTATCTATAACAAAAATTTCACCAAACTTACAAAATGTGGTAGATAAAAAATTCGGCTTGTAAATAACTTATAAACTCTAAATCTAACGAAAGTATCGAATTAATAATTATATCAGAAGTGTTCTTGGTCAACCTGGAGTCTGTCCTATTAGCCATTTAATTGAAGAAAAAAGAGAGAGAGAGAGGAGAGCGTTGCTGATGAAACCAGAAAAAAATGGAAATTCAGGTTGACGAGGAAGTTTTGTTTAAGTGAAATATATACGTAGAACTTTGTCTTCAAAGATGGATTCTCCCTGTTCACAGTTATCCTGTGCAAGTTTTATCTTACTTAGGTTTATTGTTAAAAATCGAAGCATGGGGCTGAACTGTTTGTATCTAATAACTCAATAACAAAGACTTAATATTAAAGCTTAATATAATACAGGTCCCTGGTGGGACAGCAGTAAGCCTACGGACATACAACGCTGATATCCGGAGTTCGATTCATTGCAGTAGCTTTGAAATATACTTTCAAGTTACATGAAATTTTCTATACTGAACTATTACTGACACATTTCTGTGTTTATATTAATTAATTATATTAACCCTTCTTATTAAAGTTCCTACTTATAGTACAGATCATGTCTTTATATCACTGAGGACTGGCGTGGCTAGGTGGTTGGGGGCGCTCGACTCGCAATCTGCGGGTTCAAATATCCGTCCCATCAAACATGCTCGCCCTTTCAGCCGTGTGTGTGAGGGGGGGGGGGATGGTGTTATAATGTAACTCTCAATCCCACTATTCGTTGGTAAAAGAGTAGCACAAAAATTTACAATGAGTGGTGATGACTAGTCTTACACTGCTAAATTAGGGGCGGCTAGTGCGGATAACCCTTGTGTAACTTTGCGCGAAATTAAAAAAACAAATAATCTATCACTGAGTAGCAGGCCGAACATTATCTACACGAGTAACAACTCATAACAAGATTTTCGAT